GAGGTATTTGACTTCAGTATTTTTTTAGTTATTGAGCTTAAATTGCATTTCAATGGAATTTTGTCAAGGTTAATCCAAATTCAGACAGTGAGGCCCCAAGATCTGGACATAATTGGTGCATCAAGAGTGTCCCGAAGTCAAAATGTCCCTAATTTGAGTCTCATTTTCCCTCACACTTACATTATTTAATTTGTAATTGGTGTTTTATAGGCAAAATACTCACCATAATTCCATGAAAATGAAAAATTGTCCACCCATTTAAACTGATTCAATCAATATTTTTCAACACAATATGGACATTTAGAGAATTGAATACTGATACCTCTGTACAGTACATACAAATGTTGGCATTCTCTGTAAAAATAATGTTCAAGTGAAAAAGAGAGAAGGAAATCCGTCAATGCTGGAAGTAATTTTTTTAAATTAGCTAAATGGATGGTAAATTAGTGAGAGAAATGCCCAAGAACTTTTCTTACATCAATTTTAGGGCTGAAAATATCTATTTCTTGTAATTTGGCCTGAAACTTATTTGCAATTTTATCACAAAATGTCCCAATGTTGAGTCAGTGTCCTCATGTTGCGCCTTTTTTAAATTCATTTTCTTATTGGAAAATAAGTGTCCCTATGTAAAATTGTCTACATGTCAAGGTGTCTGCATGAGGGGGTCTCACTGTAATTGATTATTTTGTTAACATATACAGTGAACCCTGTTAAGATTCCCCCAATAAAGCACCACCCTTGGCAACTGTCAAAATTTTGAATGAAACAAATCTCCTCTATGTTAAAGTCTATACAAAATCTTGATGAGACGCCAACTGCCATCTATCAGTGTTATTGATGAAACAAAAGTGCTGTTTCCAATTAGTTTTGTCTTTGTTACAATGCCAACATTGGGGTAGAATTATAATTTCTGCCAAGGATCTCGTATTTGTAAGAAAAAAATAATAATATTGAAAATTTTGAAAAACACGTTGACCTAATCTTAAAATTTGAATAAATTGATGCAGCAAAATTTATTTTTCTGAAAGAGTAATCCATTGATCACAGCAATATACTCTTTGGAAAATTACTGAAGTTGCTATACATAACCTGTATCTCTATGACTTTTTGTAGGAAAATCAAGTATTTTTTATCAAATAATTGAAAATTAAATATTCAATAACCCGCCAACCTCTTTAAACCGCCAAAATTGCTCTGGACAAATGGTGGCGTCTTATCTGAGGTTGACTGTACTGTATACACTCACAAAACCGGGTCGCCAGACGCGCAGCAATTGCCGAGTGTAACCCAGGAATGTTGATTGATGATCAGCAGTGCATATATAATCGCCATATCTTTTTTTTATTATTTCATTTCATCACCAATATTGCAGAAACACAGGACTGATTTATTCACTCAATTTACCCATAGATTCCGAGCGCATTCCGAAACAATCAATCCGGTCTCTGCTGTCGAGTGGACGAGGGCGTGACGACGAGGAAGTGGAAAGTGATACAGAAAAGAAATAAAGAAAGAAAAATCCGCCGGAAGTGAATATGTGTCGAATGCTCATGAGAAAGTGAGAATGGCGGTCACGTCGTGACGGCGGAAGTGCCGCCATAGCAAAACAAGCACTATAAAAAAGAAGAAGAAGAAAAAAATAAGAAAATAAAAAGAGGAGAGGAGAGGAGGAGGGGAGGCACGACGATGATTTCCGTCGTCGTCGTCGTCGTCGTGGGAAGATGCTGTCGTCGACGGTTCGTGTTGGGCGCCCTGATGATTGCCGCCGTTATTGCCGCCACTGCTCTTGGGGTTCAGGCTACTACTGAGGGTGAGAGTTTACTTTTATTTTATTTTGGTGCTTGGTTATGTTGATGATTCTGAAATTTCGGTTTTTTTCTTGCCAAAATAAAATGCAGTTGAACCATCTTCAAGTCAAATTTCTGGGGACCAGAAAAAAAAATTTCTACTTAGGGAGGTTTCGATTTTTGGAAGTGTCAAGTTGAACATTTTTTTTTTGTGAGGAGAAGGGAAGAATAAAAAAATGCAGGCAATTGTAAATGAGGATATTCTGGGCCTAAACTTGCTTCTTAATGAGTTTACAGTTTGCTGAACTTGGAGGCAGGGGTCCATTTATGCTCAATTATAATCATTCACTTCCTTTCAATATGCATCAAATCCTTTCTTTCATTGTTTGTCTTTTTTTATATATAAGGAAATAATGACAAAAAGGCCTCAGAAAATTTGAATTTGGAATTTGACCTAGAGGGGTTCAAATGTAGTAAGAGTGGAGACAGAAAATTTAAATGAATTTACTCTTGATTTCCTGAAATTCACAAATTTTAAAGACCAGTGAAGATAAAATGTGAATGATGAATGAACAGAACACTTTATTTGCCGCTTTTCAGCGTTCACAAGGTTCAATCAAGATTTCCACAACCAAACCCCCTTCCCACCAAACCCAAATCCACTCAATGACATTTAATCACTTCAGAACAGGAAAGCACAAATTGATAACAAAAATAAAAGAAAATAAAATACAACATGAAATACAACTGGACATCTGACATGTATGCATACCCCCATTCATTCCCTGACATTGGTAACAAAAATATGTGTAAAAATTAATTTAAAGCACAAGGTCTTCAGCTTCTTTCTGTATGAGGTTTAGTTGAATGAACAATTAAAATGTCATCTCTATTATCTCATTTGCATGGACTAAAACCATTTCAATTTTGTACCAAAAACTAGACAATACATTATTTAGCTTTTTTAAATATTTTCATATGTGAAACATGTTGTTATTTAATTTGTTTTTATCCCTTCATAATTTTTCTTTAATAAACGCAACTTTACCTGGAAGAAGGTTTAATGCATTTTATTTTAACGGTTTCTTCAACAGCTTGAGTTTTGAAAAAGATGATGAAGTTTCGAAATTCTGTACCTTTTTTTTTGCATCGACCCTGGCTGTATTTTGAGTGGATTTTTCATGGAAATAACCCTTTATTGTTTATGTTCAGTCTTTTAGTGAATATTCAAGCCGCAGGATGTTATTCTCAGTTTAAATCGACCCAATTCCACCTTCTTTCATTAATTTTTCAAAAAATGTATCTCTCGAAGTTACGCATCTAAAAAATCTAGCTGCGAAAAAAATTTTTGCGCAATTTTTTCCGTGAAATGCAATGCCTGACATTTTTTTGTTTTGTTTTTGAATTTCACGCTAGAAAACTCTATTCCACATTTCCGTTTCCCCCACTAGTCAATTAAAAGAAAAACTATTTGACGTAAAAAAAAAATAAAGACCACGAGAAGGAATAATCGCATGTGACGGAAGGAAAAATGATGATTATGGCCACAGGGCGAGAAAAAAAAATTGGTTTTGCTACGTTCCGCCAGTCACTCACTTGCCTTTTTTTTCTGATGGGGGTAAAATTGAAGCTATAGATTTTCATTCAGAAAAAAATCCTCCTGTGTATTTCAAATTTAGCCATCATAAGCAGAACGAAAAAATTCCCCCCAGCACATTTTTTTCCTGCTAATAATGAATTTTCTCAATAACTGTAGGTGGAAGTCTGTATTTGTTACGTTACAACGAATTTAAGTTTTTAAAGAAATACCGCAAACTTCCGGTGTGACAAAATTAAAATTAAAAAATTGGAAACTAGATGCATTAATGACGAGTGTATTATTGCGGAAAATTTTTTCAAAACCTTTTTTTTTTTTTTGCTTTTGTTGTTGAAACCAAACTTTCAGAGATAGAACATTGGTTTATAAATGAAAGAAAAAATTTCCTTTAGCTAAAATCCAGCTTTTCCATAAAAATAATGCACAACAGGTAAACAAAAGAGTGGGATGATAATAACTATGTGCCTATAAGAATAAATGAATTGTAAAAATAACCTTCTCCCTCACTTGCATTCATAGTTTTATGGTTTTCACTATTGTTGACTTGACAATTTTAAGAAAAGGAAACCTCCAATAATGGGTAATTTCAGAGTGTGGATCCCCAAAAAAGCTTTCTTATGGCAGATGTTGCTTGAATCCCTCATCAAACCAAGACACACTGAAACCAAAATAAATTTATCTGGGTCAAGTCAATGACTCGAAACATTGTAAAAGAACAACCTAATGAAACTGAGTGAGGCTTAATAAAAGCATGACAGGACTTCAAGCAACACCTGTTGTAATTGAGGATTACAAAAGGAGACAAGGAAAGGATCAATTCCAAAAATGAAACACGTCATTCAGCAGTGGGGTTCAGCTGGGGATTTCTTCAAGAAATCCCAAAAAGATAAAAGGATAAATGCATTTCCCTTTTTCCCCATGATTAATTCACAGAACATACATGATAAAAATATCAGAAGCAATTCAAGCAATGAGTAGCAGCAGACTGACTCAGAAATAGGTATATCAAAAATGTTGGAAGAGTGACTTTCTATGGTTTTCACTCTCTCCCCTTTCAGGAATCTGTGCTGTTGCACCTGATTGGCTGAAAAGGGGTAAATTAATGGCTCAAATATTCAATTAACATGGACTGCCATCTAACACCAGCCCAATTCAATTATTCCAGAGCATTATATAATTGGTGATCTAATTATTCTGCCACACCTCCTGTCATGTCCCAAAGTGGCACAGCTGCTGCATCTGGCCAAGAAAACCTGTTGCATTCAAGGCCAGTGAGCCTTGCCAAAATCCTCTTTTTGCAAGACTCACTGAGCCTCACCCAAGGCCAAGAAGTGGTCATCAATTCCTTCATTTTCCATAAATCAGCCAATCCTGAGCCAGGGAGAAATCACCTAATTTTTTCTTGACCCAGTCTGAGCACCTGGGCATAAAAGCCTTCATTCCAATTTGAGAGGAGAAGTGAGAATCTTGCGTTAAAATGGCCTTTTAATTTAAATTATCTTATTCATTCTTCTGAGCTAACCATCCAATCTTACAATTGACTCTGCCATTCCAAACAACCATTTCATCAACAGTCAAATGACAATCTAGGCAATGAGAATGAACTCCTCTCAAAAGAGTTTGAATTCTTATTCAAAACTTGCATTCTGATGGCTGCACAATTCAATTCCTTTGTCTGGGATCCAATGAACCCACGACACCTCCCATGATTACATGGAAATAAATTCCATAGTCCTGAACAATATTTAGTAAAGCTTGAGGAAGAAAAGCTCATAATTCTGGAAAAAACAAATTTGGGCTGTTGACTTTGCTTAATTTTCAGTTATTGGCAAATAAACCTTTTGTGGGCTTCTAGTTTTTTTTTATTATTATTTGAATGCGAAATTTTTCTAATTTTTGGAGCCCCCGCTTTGGAAAGAAATATGGCTTCTTTTTCTTTCGCTTATATATATATATGCTTCCTGAAAAATAAGGGTCACGTTTGGTCACCCGCGCGAAACGCCCTACAACCGTATAAGGGATCGATTTTCTTTTTTCCCTGCCCTGAGGTCGTTGTTCCCTCTCAGGCTGGTTGCCTTTAATGCGGAATCCGTTCTGCACATTATTAATTTGCTTTTGCGAGAAAAAAGTAAAGGGAGGGGAAACCTGTCATTTTTTGTTTACCCCGTTGACGAAAAAATTTGGCAATATGCCTCGTCATGAGTACCCAGTCAAACCACTTCAAGTCGAACTTCCAGAGGGACAAGCAAAATAAATTCGAGTTAAAGAAGTTTCCTGTTTGAAGAACAAGGGCTTTTGTAGGAAGAAAGAAAGAAGTATTTCAGGAAAATGGTAATTAGCGATATTTTAGGCCTTTGTGATAATTTAGTTTATTTGCAAATGGGCCGGGAAATTGTAGTTAGTGATATTTTAGGCCTCAAGCTTATTTTTAAATGAGTCAACAGGATGCTGAACTTGGAGGCAAGGGTATTTTTGCCCTCTTAGCTTTTCACTTCCTTTCAAAAAGCATCAATTTACAATTTTTATTGCTTTTCTCTTTCCTGTGTCAATAAAATAATAGCCAAAAGGTCCCCAGAAAATAAATTAATGCAGGTTTGAGGAGGGAATCTTTTGAGTTTGGGAGGTTTTTTTAATGCATTGTTCCTCGGGAAATTCAGAAATGGATTTTTTTTAATTCGAAAAATGGAGGTATTTTTCGAGTCATTGAGGTTCAAATTTACCGTAGTTGAAAAAGAGAAATGTTTTATTTTTTTTAGAATTTTCTCGGCGAAGAAAGAGTAGTTTTTATTTTAACACGCCGGTTTTTTTTGTTTTTCTGGCGGAATTTGCCGAGGAAAAAGAGGGAGAGTGGCTTTCAATTAACTAGGTCAACCACTGGATGGGCACGCAGATTTTAATTTTGCATTCAAGGAGGGTTTTGTGCTATAAAATTTAAATATTCCCCGCACGAACCGAAACTATGCTAATTCCCCAGCACGCCATTTTCTATTTACGCAGAAATGGATCCATTCAGTATATCCCGAAGTGAAATTCATGTCACGTCATTCGAATTTTAGCAGAAAATCGGGGGGAAACGCTCTTCAGGTTTATACAGGACTTTTTAGGTTCATTAATTCATGCTTACTGTGAACAAATAAGGGATGATTATTTTAAAAGTACAGTAGAAACTTCATGTGAGGCTTATTTTCCATAACATTTTTTCAGCTGGTATTTTGGTATCTGGAAAAAATTTCATAATTTACTAAACAGTCAATTTAAATTAATTAAAAAATAATAATAAATATTATTATTTGTATTACAATTATTATATAATACACTTACATCATCTATAAATAAATACATATTTATTTAGTACTATTTATTGTTATAATAATAATTATTATCAATTATTTATTTTATTTCATTTATTTATTACGTTTAAATAATTTTGGAAACATGCATTTCACATTACAAAAATTCCGAAAAACAAAAGGCATCTATTTGAAAATCTCCTGGAGGTTGATGAGGAAGGTTGGTCCAGTTAGGATTCCCCCAGTGTTTTTGATTCTGAGTAAATCCTTATGGAATATTTCATGAAGATTCTATCTTTGTGAAATGTATTTTTTTTCAATTCAACTGTTGAAAGGATGTTTCTGTTGTGTTCTTTTTTGTTCTGTGAGATGTGGCATGCATTGTGAGCGACATCTAGTTGACTTGCAGCACATGGCTTATTGTGTCTTGGACAACATTCAGTTGACTTGCAACTCCTCTCTTGATTTGGCCTGTTCTCAAATTGGCCCTTTTTCAAATTGGTCTGGTCTCAAATTGGCCCTGTTTTTAATTGTCTGTCTCAAATTGTCCTAGATCCATTTTTACCATTTCTAGAATATTTAGAATGATAATTATAATACCTTTTATATTCTATGAAATTCTGAAGTCAATGTTCTTCTCGCCAAAAAAGAAGAAGATTCAATTGGTCCAGAAAATTCAACTTCGTCAATCTGCTAGAAAAAATCGGCATGAAAATATAATTCGCATTTTTTTGATTGCAAGAAAAATCGGATGATTTCTTGAAATAGATGGCCTTTTAGTCATTTAATTTCAAGTACTATTTAATATTATATAATAATTTAGGCATGGCTGAATTTTGGTAAGTGCGTGTATAACCTACTGTATATTATTGCGTGGGCGAAATAAATTACTGTACTACATTTTTGATAATGATGATAAACGTCGATTGCTAATGAGACATACTTTGCCGTCCAGTTTAAATGACAATGTTCGCAGTTCCACTTTTTTTCCAAATAGCGCAGTATTCAGGTCAAATATTAATAAACATCTCTCGGAATTTTTCTGAGCATTTCTTTATTTTACATGCACGATATATTTACCACAGAAAAAAAAACAGTCTACTGACCTGGAGGTACGCTTTTGAACGAAAAGTTATTTTGATGAGGGAACGTTTGTCGCAGGAATATAGCGGAAGTTTCACGGTCGAAGAAGCGTGACGATCGATCGACACTAGTTGAACAACTTGGTGACGGGGTTAGCGACACCAGCACTTTTATCTGACATTCCCTGTCGTTTTTTGCATTTTTTTGTGTGTGGGTCGATATCCGGGATACCACGCACCTGGACGCGAAATTTCTGGGTTCTATTCGTGTTTTGATATTGATGTATTGAGATGAAAAAAATATATCTGACGCTTTTCGAAATTAAAAAAATTGGAATTAAATTGAAATAATTTAGAAATCGTCAATTAATTGTCTAGAACGAGGTTTTAGAGTTTTTTGTTCAAACAAAAATCTGCGAAGGAAAAATTGCGTTTTTTTTTTTTTAGATCGACGGTGTTTTTTGGCAAATGGTGGATCGTCGCAAACACTGCTGGTGCACGAGAATGCGAATGTGGGTGCAGATATCGGCCAGGTTGGGGTTTTGGGTGAACCCCAACAAGACATAAATTTGCAATTGCAGATTTCCAATGGGAACCCTGCTGTTGAAATTGTCCCCGGGTCGAAGATCCTGAGACTCGCTTACCAACTTGACAAAGAGGTGCCACACGTTTTTCTTTTTCATTTTAAATATACTTTTTTCTTGAAGATTTATCTTTTTTTTACAATTTTGGTAGCTTTTTTTTAATTTGCCATCGTTTTTATTTTTATTTCATTTCAATAGGAACTGGATGGTCCCTCGAAAGTGGATTTGAAAGTCGAATGTACTCGGGTTGGATCGTCTGAGGCTGTGAGTGTTTTGTTGCTTTCAAAAATGTTTTAAAAATATATTTATGCATTTGACAGAGACTTATTTTGCTTGGCACTTGTTTCAGCCTGTTGTGATACCGGTGTATATCAAAGTTTTGGATGCGAATGACAGAGCGCCTTATTTTATTGGAGGACCATACGCAGTGAACGTTTCAGAGGTACGTGGAGTGAACATTTATTTTTCAATTGAATCTGCTGTGTTTTTCTTTGAGAAAATTCTTGGATATATGAGACATTTTTCATGCTTTGTTGCTAAAAATGTAGGAAGAAGCTGTGGTAGTTTTTCCTAAATCTATGGGATTTTTATTCCCAATAAATCAGTTTCTTTTAATAATAAGACTTTAAAATTTTGAAATTTGAATTTTATGAGGGAATTATTTTAACTGTATTTAATAAAACTTTGCCATGTATTGAGGATGACAGAGTTTCCAATATAATTTGATGTCCAGTGTTAGATAAATAAAACAAGTTAATCAGTCTGGGACAGGACTGGGATTCCTTTTAGGAATTCCTAGTTTAAGATAGTAAAATATATTTCAGGAATAAACAAATAACAGCAACAACGCAACGAGCTCAGGCTTGGATAACTTGAATAAACGCACAGCTGAACGCAACTGATCTAATTAGAGAATTTGAGGATGCTGCTTATATAGTATTTGCAATCATCAACCTTCATAAGGTTTTATTACTCTAATGGCAACAGGAAAAAGTAATCATTGAAGATGCTACCAGGTTGTGCCTGGCACTGCGATTTTGAGGAGGGGAGGATATTTCTACAAACTTTAGGTATTATAATGTACGTTAGCGTGCATGCCCAATACCATGCATTTATGAAATAAAGTTGAATCTCTCCAAGTCAAATTCAGAGAGGGTCTGAACAGAAGTTTGACTTAGAATTTTTTGAGTTTGGAAATACAGTACTGTATTGACTAAATTTTGCTTAAGGTTAATATCAATTAGGAACATGATTTGATAGCATCATAAATACAATAATTATTATTGTATAATAATAATTAATTATTTTTATAATTGCTCATATACTTCCATTATTCCCTAAGTTACATGATTCCTTGCTGTGTAAATTATTTGGATTGATGTTTCCTTTTCCTGGAAAAAAGTGTTTTGAAATTTATCACCAGATGAATAACATGAATTCTTCAGAATATTTGACAAAGGGAGATTTTAGAGCCAAAATGCTTGACTTTGGAAGGTTTAAAATACATTTCCATTGAGGAAATTTGTTATGGGTTAACTTTAAATTTGAATTAGATAGGTTTCTGACTGAGGGAGATTTAAGCCAGTGTTCCCCAACCCATGGTCCAAAGACCAGCACCGGTCTGCAGAATTTTTTGCCAGTCTGCAAGGAAATTTTCAGCACAATACATTTATCAAAAGTAGCAATGAATAGTATGTTATCTTTATTTAAACTTTTGGAAAGACATTGGCAGTTAAAATCATCTGATGAAAAATAAAAGTTTTCTTTTCTCCACACGACACTTCAGACAAATTTTAACCTGCTGAAAAAAATTATTTCTATTTTGCATTTTGAGAGACCTTTCTTCAAGCCCACCCTTCCAATTTTTGACAACATTGGTCTATAGCTGCATCGTCATTGGTGCTAAACTTAAAATTTTTCAAAAATGCAGAAATTTTCAAATACCTGCCAAGGAGTCTTTGCAATTAAAACAATTTTGAGTCTGCAGAAATTGTATGAAACTTTGAGGGTCTGCATAATTTTTTTTTTAATTTTTCAGTCTGTGGGCACAAAAATGTTTGGAAACACTGGTTTAAGCCAAAAAGGTTCAACTTCATTATGGTTAGCTATGGTGATGCACTAAGAAAGGTAAAAGCAAAAAATCCATGATGGTGGAACACAACAACAAACTTTTAAGTCACTTCTTTCTTTCTGAGAAACTGGTGGGAAAAATAAAATCAAACACTCATTTCAAATCATGTGCAGCCAAAAAAGATTTATTTTCTTCAAGCTGAAGAGATCTGCATTTCAGTGAATAAAAATCATTCCTGAATTTACTTTTCAGATGACTGCTGTTGGAAGCACAGTGATTGAAGTGCTGGCAAAAGATGAGGACCAAGATGGACCATTTAGCACAATCACTTACAGTATTGTTCCTGATGCTTATTCTGTAAGTTTCTGAAATACAGTAGTTTTCAGCTTTGAAAATTTCACCTGCTGGAGAGTTTTAACATACTTTGACTGCATTATTATAGGATTATGTTTCATTTGCTTCCAATTTGAATGGGAAGATAATCAACTCCTTCGTCAACCTAAAACTCTGAAACAGGGTCAAGAGTCACTGATAGTCCCGAGTCCACTCTGTAAAGGAAGAGGGTTTATTTCAATAACCGTTCTTTGAACGAATATACGAACAGAACTATAAATTTCCAGGACCAAGGGAAACCCCCTTTATATGGAGAAACCAGTCTTACTGTCCAAGTTTTGGATGGTGATGACAGAAATCCAAAATTTTTGGAGGAAAGTTATTATGGGATTGTACCAGAGCCACCAGTGAGAGTGAGTCAAGTTTTTATTCCTTTTGTACTTTGTTTGTGATAATTTCAACTGCTATACACCAATGCAACACCCTTTTAAGTGAAATATGCACCTTAATGTATAAGAACTAAAAATGTGGGAAACAACTAACATGTCTGCATAAGTTACAAACCCCTTTTTAACCTCTCTATTTCAAATTTCAGTGGACTCCAAAAAGTTGAATCAGGAAGTCTAAGAGATGGGAAATGAGACTTAATTTATGTAAGTTTTGAACAAAAATCTGTTTATGCTCTAATCATCACCTAGATCAGAGGAATTTGCCTAATTCTTTGTGAGAAGCAACAAGATAAAAATTTGCATTTGATGTTCCAGGCTATCTAAAAGACTGGAACAGGTGTTATAAAATTAGCACCAGTTTCAACAGCACAATGGTCATTGAATATTTTGAAAAAGCAATGTTTTAGGCAAAAGTAGTTGACTTGAAAAGGTTTAAAATGAGTTTGTCTGAGGGGAATTGATCTGTGATTCACTGGAAATTTAAATCAGCAAAGATTTGGCTGAGAGACTTTCATCTGTGTAAACATTTTTATAAAGCAAAAATTGTAATGAAGCAAAAATTGTAATAAAGCAAAAATTGTAATAAAGCAAAAATTGTAATAAAGCAAAAATTGTAATAAAGCAAAAATTGTAATAAAGCAAAAATTGTAATAAAGCCAAAATTGTAATAAAGCAAAAATTGTAATAAAGCAAAAATTGTGATAAAGTAATAATTGTAATGAAGCAACAATTTTAATAAAGTAAAAATTGTAATAAAGCAAAAAATTTCAGCATTAAAAAATCAATTTAGATTCAATTGTAGCAATTGAATCCATCCTAAGTCCTAATGTTTCACCTCTCCCATAGTTTCTAAAGCATTTTGCTTGAAACTTGAAAGTAATCCTTGATGCACACCAAAATGTGAACATTTCTGCAGAGAACTTTGCACTGCTGTACCTGCATGCATGATATGCACCCCATTTTAATTTTTTTTATTACAGAAAGTTGCACCTGGTATTTGTATCAATACAGTATTTCATTCAACCTTTTTTCATTTCTTACTTGTATTTTAAAAGTGGTTTTTGCTTGCCAAATTTCAGGGAGCAAGAGTGCCTGTTGGACCCAAGCCAATTATGGCCTATGACCAGGACACTGGCCTTGGTATGCCAGTGATCTTTTCTTTGCTGATGAGTGAGTCAAAACATGAATTTGTTTTGGAAAAAAGCCCATTTTGTCAGACCTCAAAGATCTATCACACATTCACAATCATAAGGAAAAAGCAGCGCAAATCATTAGATTTAAAAAATCACTGTTTTTTAAAGATGATTTTAACCTTTTTTTAAATATCCACCATCTGGAGAAAAATCTTGGTGATTTTTTTAGCCATTCTTATTTTTTCTGTGGGAAAATTCGGCGGTCATTAATCCTATGAAGTCTCCAAACATGCGATATTAATTTTTTTATTTTGAAATTATTCAAGAATTCATTTCAGATTTATGAAGAATATCCCCGTGGGAAAATCACGTTTTTCTTGATTTTAAATTTGATTTTTGAAACAAATTGAAGAATAAATAAAAATAATTGTTGGACCTCGAAAGATTTCAGAATAATCAATCCCACTCAAAAATAAAATATAGGGAAAACCCGTTTGATAAAAAAAAAATTCCCTGCTTTTTCGCAGATGATTCCGAGTCTCACTCTGTTTTTTTTTTATTCTTCGGAAGCCACCTGGCGAATAATTTTTTTTTTCTAAAAAAAAAGAACTATCAGATCTTAACGTTTCTGTGAGAATTTTCGCGGTCATTCGCATTTCAAACACGTGACTGACTGAAGTGTTTATTATCTCCCGTTGTGACTGACGAGGTTATTTGACTTCCTATTTACTTTTTGATCACGTTATTTTTTGTGAAACATTGAAAGAAAATGCACAAAAAAAAACTGAGGTATGTTTTTTTTTTGCGTCTTTGTTCCAGATGGAGAGGAATCAGAGTATTTTACCATCAACCCGAAAGATGGGGCTTTGTACGTGTATCACGACGTTCCAGACGATGCACTTTTCACCCCGTTTACTTTGGTTGTCAAGGTTAGTTGACTAAGCAGAAAGACAGTTTTATTTTTTGCAATTTTTCTTGCCGTTTTTTTGCCTTTTTTGGGCGAAGAAAATTTGCGGTTTATCTTCAGCAGTCACTTTCCCCCCGGAGTATTTCTGTGCAGGGTAATTTTTTTTGGTGACTCGAGATCGAGAACCATTTTTCACTTCAGAATTATGGTTTTCTTGAATATTTTGAAAGTGTGTATTGTACGTACAATATTTGTGAACTATCAGAAAAAATGAATAAATACGGCACTGTACGTTTTAAAATTTTTTCCTGCTCATATTTGGGGCTTTCGAATCTTTGAAAATCTTTTTTTTTCAGTTGCAGAAGATTTTTCTTTTCGAAGCATAGAGATTTTCTCCCCCTGGAATATCCTGTGAAATATTCATTCAAATCCAAGATTCGACGTCAATGTTTTTTCCAAACTTTTTAATGAATTATGTGTATAAATTTGGTTTGTGAATAAATTCAAAAAAAGAAATGGTATTACAGTAAAATATTGCTACAATAAACTTGTGGGAACTTAAAAAAAGTTTTATAATGAATAATTTGTTATAATGAGATTTTGAAAGTTATTGAGTGACAGGAATATTTTCTTAAAATTAGACCTGCATATATAAAGTATTCAATAATTTCATTTTGTGGTCATTTCAGATGTTTTTTAGGGGTTAAAAGACTGATATCTTCAAAAAGAGGTTTAATTATTGATCATAAACATGTACAGTACTGTATTCTGAATAAAAGTTAAACATTAGCACAAATTTTTTGACTCTAACAATTTTATAAGCAACTCCTGCAAAGATTTGTGAGGGTGGATGTTCCAAAGTTGCTTACTAATTGTTACATCACTAGAGGGTTTCTCAAGCATACAAACTCCTTTAAACATGGGCTTTGCTGGGTTCATTTTTTATCTGCCCCCCCCCCCCCCC